GTATATATATTGTGGCTATTCTGTCTTTTTTATATATATATATATATATATATATATATATATATATATATACAGTAATTGTTTTGTGGGTATTTTAGTGTGCAAATGCTACATATCTTACTCTCCTATAGGATTTACTTATTACCCACAGTACCTGTATGCCAGTACATCCTTGAATTAACACAGTAGCAAAAACAATATATTTGTTGTTTTTTGGTTAAAAAAATTGATATAATTTTATTCTTATGCATTATACACATCGTTAGTATAAATTAGATCTCATTTGATATAAAATCCTTGCTGAGGAAAATTTAAGACTTTGCTTTACTTTTAAATCAAGACCTTTAATTCGGCTAACTCTTAGTTCATTAACTCTTGCCTTAAATGTTTCATTCAGCATGTTTCGTTCATTTTCCACTTGCTTGTTAACTGAATGGATGAAACTTCAAACATGATCTCTTGAACTTATTGTTAAAATACGTACAGTGTACGCTCACTGTAAGATACCTCGGAAGTGTGAAATTTAGACAGATCTAATTTATTATTATTATTAAACATTTTTTAAAGCTGTAGTTAAAAGTAGCTAAATGGGAAAAGAACATTTTGTAAATCAATTCTCATTTCAAGAAAAGTTTTAAAATTCGTTACATAAGAAATTGAATTGGCAACTAATTTAAATAAATATAATTCCAGGGCAGGAAAAATTCTGAAGTTATAAAAAAATTGTAGCAATTGACTTGGACATTTTACATTTATAAATTCTAAGAAGTTCTAACATGTGTAAGCATAACGAGGAAAATCCTTAGAACATTTTAAGTTCCTTGACATGAACATTTTGAAAAGGAACGGTAAGTCCTACGAAAGTATTGGAATTTATTATTGGATATTAGGAGACATTTCTTAGATATACTTGATGCATTGATGAGGTAAAAAGTATGTATTACAAGTAACATTAAAATGTCATAAGAAAAAACGAGTCACTTTTACTTTGATAAAAGAAAACTTTGAATAATTTTAAGATTGTTTTTTTATTCCTTTGAAGTCTGGTAGGTTCCAGATGTTGAATGATGCAATATGAAATTTAATGTTTGATGTGTAGTAATATTTGGAAATGTTTGTTTTTTTCAAATTAGCATCCAATCCTATGGATTCTAAGAGAAGAGCAGAAAGTTGGAAGAAGAACAGGAGACAGTTGGTAAGTAACTGTTGTTGTATGTTCTTTATGGTAAAGTTTAATATAATACAGACAACTAACTGATCAGTTAATTATGGTTCAAGTCAGTGGAGAACAGTAAACAGCTGGTGGCTTAATTGTTCTTTTTGATTAATTTCAATATAGAATAGCAAGACCTTGACAGTGAATTGACACTGTAAGGTTATAACAGTAAACAATTAGTGGCTTTTCTATGCTCTGTGTTATTTGTATTTCATGTCAGTATAGGTCAGGAGACAGTTGATGACTTGTTTGTTTTATGTTCCTTTTCATGTAAGGAACATAAAACAAGCAAGTCATCAGCTGTCTCCTGACCTATACTTTTCATGTAAGTATAGGTCAGGAGACAGCTGATGACTTGCTTGTTTTATGTTTCTTTTCATGTGAGTATAGGTCAGGAGACAGTTGATGACTTGTTTATGTTTCATTTCATGTCAGTATAGGTCAGAAGACAGTTGATGACTTGTTTATGTTTCATTCCCAGTCAGTATAGGTCAGAAGACAGTGGTTAAGTTGTTTTATGTTCAGATATATACTGACATGAAAAAGGTGACTAGTCTGTTGCATGTCCTACGCATTTCATGTCAATATGGATCAGAAGACAGTTGATGACTTGTTTATGTTTCATTCCATGTCAGTATAGGTCAGAAGATAGTTGATGACTTGTTTATGTTTCATTCCATGTCAGTATAGGTCAGAAGACAGTGGTTAAGTTGTTTTATGTTCATTTTCATGTCAGTATATATCAGGTGACTAGTCTGTTGCATGTCCTATGCATTTCATGTCAATATGGATCAGAAGACAGTTGATGACTTGTTTATGTTTCATTCCCTGTCAGTATAGGTCAGGAGACAGCTGATGACTTGCTTGTTTTATGTTCCTTTTCATGTAAGTATAGGTCACGAGACAGCTGATGACTTGTTTATGTTTCATTCCATGTCAGTATAGGTCAGAAGACAGTGGTTAAGTTGTTTTATGTTCCTTTTCATGTCAGTAGAGGTCAGGTGACTAGTCTGTTGCATGTCCTATGCATTTCATGTCAATATGGATCAGAAGACAGTTGATGACTTGTTTATGTTTCATTCCATGTCAGTATAGGTCAGAAGACAGTTGATGACTTGTTTATGTTTCATTCCATGTTAGTATAGGTCGGAAGACAGTTGGCTTATTTATGTTCCTTTTCATGTCAGTATATATCAGGTGACTAGTCTGTTGCATGTCCTACGTGTTTCGTGTCAGTATAGGTCAGAAGACAGTTGATGACTTGTTTATGTTTCATTCCATGTAAGTATAGGTCAGAAGACAGTGGTTAAGTTGTTTTATGTTCCTTTTCATGTCAGTAGAGGTCACGAGACATTTGTTCACTATATGACATGATGATTCTGTTTAATTGGAGCATTATCACAGTGCCTAGATTTGTCAAGTAGATTACGGCACTACTGTTACATCACTTGTTCCTCTACCATGTTACTTTCCAGTAAGTAGATAGAAATATATAGTTTTGGCAACTAAAGCTTCTGGATGGTAGTGTGTGGGTGGGTGTGTATTTATAAAATGTGTTGTTGTCCATATCGGGTTAAAATTCAGAAAGTAGGTCCTAATTGTTTTGTAATTTTTTGAGTGAATAAGAACCATTGGCCATCATATCACATTTGTCTCTCCAGGAAGGAAGTATTAATAACCATTACTTACTTTGGCTTTTTGGGGAGTAGGATCCAGTGGTTCCTTTGATATATAATCCTCTTCAGAGGGCAGGTATTGATAACAATATGTAACTTCAGGCTCTTGTTGGGACCAGTACATTTAGCAGGTTATTAGACATGGTACACTTGGCCAGTGGTTAGTATGATGGTTTTTTTTAAAATAAAAAGTTTTGAGTCATGGGTGCACTATAAGAATAACAGTTAAATCCATCTAATGGATATAACAAGAGGAAATAGAAATCAGTCTGTAGTTTTGTGGGCACTTGTAACTACAATTACACAGGCCTGCGATGGTTTTATTGTCTTGAAAATTTTGCATGTTCTACACTAATTCCTGTATGCTAAATTCAAAAATGATATCCATTTTTTCTCCATCGCGTACAGATTTTTCACAAAACGTCATAATGCAATACATAGAAGAAAGACCACAACACAATACATAGATTTCACAAAAAATATCAGGATGAATGAAGATGCATATTCGTTTGACATCATTGTTCTTCCCTTTTCTTCAGATTGTTTGTATTTTTGTTA